AAAAAAGAGCCATCAAATTCTGGAAACACCTAAAGACAAGTGACCCCAGCACATACCATTATAAAGCCCTGAAACACCAAGAGCTGAGCCTCACGAAGAGTCCCCTCCTTCAGCTGGTGCTGAGACTGACAGAGATCAGCCAGCCTCAGAACTCACACACCCTCAACCATTCAGCCCACACAAATCAGCAACACAGAGAAAGACAAGTACATCACCCATTGGACAAACACCATTAAAAACCAGCACAAATTAGAATGTTATTCGGCACTAAATCGAGAGAACACCATGGCAAACTACCTGAGCACAGTGACTGATGTGAAACTCAGGAAAACATTGACGATGTACAGACTCAGCGAGCACAGTCTGTCTGTAGAGACGGGCCGGCGCAGACAAACCTGGCTCTCCCGTGAGGAGAGAATCTGCTCCCACTGCAGTCTGGGAGAGATCGAAACAGAGCTGCACTTCCTCACAGAATGCCCCAAATACCAAAACATTAGAGACCACTACTATCCCAAAATTAACAAAATATTTCCCCAATTTAATAATTGCACCCCAACTGAAAAACTCACCTTCATTCTTGGTGAAAAATCTGAATGTGCAAATACAGCTGCAAGATTTATAGCAGCCTGCCAACTCCTGAGGCACAGCCACAGCCAAGAAACCAATATCCAGTAAATATACGGCTGACTCGCACCAAACCAACCAATACACGACTGTAGATAATGTTGAATCCAGTTATTCAGTTTATTAATTAAAAAAATACAGAAATAATCTTGTTACATAACCTTTACTATTTCATATTTGTTTATATGTATCCATATGTTTTAATGTCATTCTTTCAATATTACTTGTTCAAATGTTATTTCAATTGTTATATTGTTCCAAATTACACTGTTGTATCTGTTCTCTTTTCCTATGCATGTTTTGGCAATGCAAAATGTGTTTTTTGTCATGCCAATAAAGCGAATTGAATTGAAAAAATTGAGTGTGTGTGTGTGTTATTGTCATATACTGCAAGTTATTTTGTTTGAAAGGCAGCTCTGGAAAAGACTCCCCTAATGAACCCGCTAACCGGGGCTTCAAGAGTTCAAATAAACTTTTCTGGAATGACAGAAGAAAACCTGGAAATGTCAGACTCGGGAAATTTCAAAATTATTGTTTTTGTGTTTTAAAATCTTTTAAAATTAGCTACCATCAGTTTTGTTTTAAATTGCTTCATAACCATGTCTGCCAGTTTGGTGTTCGCTGTTTATTAACAAAGGAATTTACACTTTTGTGAATTTGTAAAAAACTGTTGTTTTATAATCTTTGGCCCTGTGTAATTACAATGGCCAAACTAATCAAAAACACTTGTGCTGTTATCAATTTAAAGGGGTCATATGATGCGATTTCAATTTTTCCTTACTCTTTGGAGTGTTACAAGCTGTTCGTGCATAGATAAGATCCCTAAAGTTGCAAAGACTAAAGTCTCAAACCCAAAGAGATATTCTATTTAAAAGTTAAGACTCGTCCACGCCCTCCTAAAATGCCTCGTTTAAACACACCCCCACATGTCTGTCACTGTGGGAAGATTTGCATAACACCGCCCAAATGTTTACACAAAGAAAGAAGGCGTAACTTTGATTCTCGTTGTAGTATTGTTGCCGCTTTCAGACCGATGAGCTTTGTAAAAATCGACGCGTTTCAGAAAGGCGGGGCATAGAGGAGCAAAAATAATGTACAGTATGTGGAAAATAATGTGTTTTTTGAACCTTGAACCGCATAAACATTTAATTACACCAAATACACAAAATAATGTTCTTTTTTAGCAATGTCATATGACCCCTTTAATGGTGAAGAAATAAGTAATCAATTATCTTATTGAATCATTACATTATTCTGCTTATTACACGGCAGCTTAACAAACAAATAGGACATGAAAACCTTCATTGAGTTCAAATCGTTTTATTAGTTTACATATGCTTACCATACATTTTCTTTCTGCAGGATAACTGGGATGATGATGAGGAGGAGGAGAAGGAAGAAGAGAAGAAAGTTGAACAGAAAAAAGCAGGTATTGATCTCTGTTGAGCGGTCAGATTTTGCAATGTAAACGTTGTAGGCAGAGCCATTGCATATTTGTAAAACTTGCCATTAAGTATGTCTTTGGGGTGTGTGTTGTTTTATTACTGTTTTTCTTTAACCCAAGTGGAAAGCACTCTTATGGTTTGATTTACATTTCTTATAGAGGTGAAACCCCCTGAGAAGAAAAAATTTACTGATAAAATAAAAGAGAAAGAAATTTTGCAAAAGAAAAAACAAGATGAGTTGAGAAAGAAAGTAAGAAAATTATTATTACTTGTATAATTACTCATTAATGGATTAATCCCTGTCTTTGTAGTTACTTATTTCTTTTAACCGTTTAACCTTTGTTTTTGAAACCTGTGAAAAGATGGATGAAACCGCAAAAAATGAGAATCTATCACCAGAGAAGCAGCATGCAGAGACGATTCGACTGATAAAACTGCAGGAGGAGGCAGACATGGAATTGGCCCGTGAGGCGTTTGGTAAGAAATAAGTATGTGAAGTCTTCCAAGTCCAAATTTGAACAGTTAATCACTGAATAATCACTCTGATTTCAGGTGTTGATCCTGCTGCTGCAAATGCCTCTACTACTGTTATCACAACAAACAATGCCTCTGGAATTGAAGCCATGTGCCCTTCATCAAAAGATGACTTTGTTGCATTTGAAAAATTACTGAAAGATAAGATAACACAGTTTGAAAAATCAGTGCATTATTCCAGCTTTTTGGAGTCACTGTTTCGAGAGCTTTGTATTTCATGTTAGTTCATGTAAATATTTTTTTTATTTGTATGTGGATATTTGTCAGCTTTTTTTTTTTTTTAATAATGCAAATTACTGCTATTTCCACAGCTTTTTAGATTATATGTTGGATCTCTTAAACATAAAACCTTGCACGTGTCTTTAGACTAATGTTTTATTTTTCCCTCCCTCTGTGTAGTGGAAGTAGATGACCTGAAAAAAATAAGTAATTTTTTGTCTGTTCTGCTCAGTGAAAAACAAAAGCAAGAAAAGGTAAGTTGAATGATTTTGCTCTGTTTTAGAGGAACTTTTCAAAACCTCTTTTGAGTGCAAATAACTTGATTCTTGCTTAGTTGAGGATCTTATTTACAGGCACCAACACGCTTGTTATTTATAGTAATTCTGTATTGTTCATTATAATCAAAATATCAACAGCAAAATACTCAATATTAATTTGTTGCTGTTATGCACAGGAAAAGAAGGCAAATAAGAAAAAGAAGAAAGGTGTACTCCCTGGTGGTGGATTGAAAGCAAACATGAAAGATAACTTTGCTGATTATGGTGGTTTTGATGATGACTTCATGTGACGAAGGTTCCCATTCCCTCTCTGCCCAGATGCCCTTGCAGACATGCAACATTACCCTTTCATGCTTCTCAGTGCCATCTTTGACACTGAACAGTGTGTCAACCCTTTACTTGGTTCCACTGGTGACAGACTCCTCATAAAACTGCTATCAGCACATTGCACCTCAGCGGCAAATGGGGAAAAAGTAAATTTTTTCAGATGGCCTTGAAATCTCATTTTTATTTAGAAAACAGACTATATGATATGGGACATTTTTGATGGAGGCGTTTCCTCTGATTGGCTTAAATAAGCATTTCAATGCCTTGTAGAAAACTTTGCAGACAATATCTTTTTGTTTTCCTTGAAAGTGACTTATGTTTTTAAAGCTGTGCAATTTCAGTTACACAGAAGTAAATATGATGCTCTATGCAAATGAATTTCTTCCAAGAATGTCCTTATTGAAAGTATAGTTGTAC